TTCCTACTGAAATGTTTTTTGATACTTAACGAATGGAATTGTTGGTAACTTCACATTTACATGTCCTAATCACTCACATGTTCACCAACTTTCAGTTCTCTGAATATGCAACGAAATAATTTTTTTCTAGTCTCACAAAAATTGAATGCTGAAAGTCGTATATCAATAATGAGTTTATGAATGTTAAATGCACACACTTGACAGTCTGTAGTTCATTGCTGAAATCATGGATCAATGATTTTTAGACCACCATTAGAAACGTGGAAGCACTGGACCGCCGTTTCGTCCTGGTGTGGGACTAAACCATCCACAACACCTGGTACTCACAGGATTCGGAAGCAATAAATGACAATCTCCATAACTCTAACTGAAGAATCGTACAATGTGCTCACTGGTGACTAGCTTCGTGAAAAAATCCTCGGAGTTCTAGTGAGAGGAGGCGCAAAATCCTAAGATTGATCAGAGTTAGACGCAAACACCGTTGGTTACCGGCCCAGTGGTCCAGTGGTTAGGCGTCCGCCCACAAGACTGTAGGTCCCGGGTTCGAGAATTGTGGATGTGCACTGCTAATGAGTCACATACCGGGAGGAACAAGGTCGTCTGGTGCTTCTAGGTTTCGAATAATGGTATAAAACAATAGGTGATTCATGATTTCAACAATGAACAACAATCTCTATAACTCGAGTTGAAGAACCTATAGTTCACAGAATCAGAGCTTCTTCTTGTTGTACAATTGGTATGTCAGGATAAAGATTAGAAGAATGGTAACTTTGAGGACTGATTTATGAATAATTACTGTGTATAACCTTATCGTAACTATATATATTTATATATGTATATTCCTTTTATTATGATTTTCCAATTAAATTATTGACTACTGTTGTGTTGTCTACTATTCCTAATTTAATTGAAAACAATATTGTTCACCTACCTATAGTTCTAATTCATAATACGGAAATTTTTTAATATACTAATATACTAAAGCTCAATGAGTCCCTAAAGTTAATACACGTCTCACAGAAGCGTAAACGTCGTTAGATTTTAATCAGTGATTGTATACAGACTGATAGATATCCTACAACATATTGGAAGTCTTTACGCCAAACAAAGCCTATCTTAATTCGATAACTTTTCATCATGATGAATCAGAAGATTGCTAAAGAAGAACTGTTGGAGCAATTTAACAGTACACATTCAGCCATTAGTTTTATGCGTAAGGAATAACTTGATAAAAAATTACATTTTCTTCACGTTCCTGTTAAACAGAAAAGAAAGTAGTTCTATCAGTAGAGGCATGTGTCGAAAAGGTTCTTTGTCACGCCAATGCACATATTTCACGAGCTTGAGCTAGAAAGATATGCTCATACTACACCATTAACAAAGAACTGCAGCTCATTCATAATATGTTGATTGAAAATGGATTCCTGTCATAACCAGTACACTTGTCAATACAGTATCAATCCGTAATTATTATTCCACTATTATTTCTGACTCAGAAATTGCCTTAACTGGTTTAATAATCACATATATGGATATATTAGAGTAAAGCCTGATGACGATCTGATTAAAAACAATCTTGTTAGCTTATATTTGCTAGTTTATTATTCACAGCCTCTTTCAGCTTGCTCATGCATAAATGTATTTCCCCATTTTATGATGTGATGTGTTCTGTTCAAATATAAACTATGTTTGTTTGAAAAAAAAACAAATTTTATGAAGTCTGGCTATGGACTTCTGGACTTAAATAGTAGAGCAGAAAGAACGAAGTCGTGGACCAATAAGGATTTAGAACTGACTTAAGGTTTTTGGTGCTAAGGTGTAATTCCGATTGGTGGTTTGTATTTGCCACAGATATTGATCGGTCAAAGGTTAGGGATACCACAATCGGTGACCAGAAAAAAGATTGAGAAAAATATGTCTAAATCAGTTGATGAACTTAAGAAATAGTTCACACAACCTAAAAATTTGCTCAGTCTGTTGCATGTGATTCTTCAAATAAATTTGATATAATTTTTCAACTAGAGTTAAGGAGATTATTGTTTTTGACACATTTGAAATCATCAATCAATCATTGTTAGACCGCCATTATAAACCTGGAAGCATTGGACGGCCGTTTCTTCGCGGTATGGGACTCAGCAGTGCGCATCCACAACTCCTGCACCTCCCATGACTCGAACTCAGGACCTTCGGTCTTGCGCACGAACATCTAACCTCTGGACTACTGAGCCGGCATTCAACAGTGTTAATGTCTAACTCTGATTGACTGAGGATTTCATATGTGTAAAAAACTTGATATGGTATTGAAACCATGATTAAAATTTTTTCAGGATAACTGCTATCTCACAAATAACCATGATTTAGATTTTCCGGGGATAAACTATAACGATAGAAACTGTTGAGTCGAAATCACTCATGTACATTTACAAAATGAAATATATGGATTGTGGATAGCAATGAAATACAGGATGTTTGTATTGGCTCAATTGAATTTCAGTGTTGATGTTCACATTCAAACTTGAATCCTAGTACCTTCTGTTTTTAAACATCAACAGATTACCGATTGAATTGATGAGTCAAGACAGACAGACGCTAACTTGTTCAAATGAGTTTTATTCACTCAGAATATACACATGTCACCAACCAAAGGATCAATATTTAAAAAAAGAAAATCATTTGATTAGAGTTTCACACAATTTTCAATTTTTCTTAGTAAAGTGAACAATCAAAGTCAGTGTCTTATGAAAAGAATTTGTACTTTACAAGTCACTACATAAAATGTGATCAATTCACAGGTGTAACTCATTAAAAACTTAAAATAATTTACATATTGAACAAAGTAAATGTACGTTTTCCTTTTGTTTTGAAAAAAACAATAAGTTATATTTCTGTTTTTAAATTTGTAATTATTGATAGCTGAGTGAAAGAAAGGACAATGCATGTGTATATTGGAAAGTTGAACTCTACTGTTTAATTTTTACACAACAGTTAATTCGTACTTTTGAGAAAGTTTTATTTAGGGCATTATCGATTGTAATATATGATTGGTTGAAATAAAGTTCAACTTTCCGATAGTCCGAAACTTGAGTGAGATGAAATAAACTCAATTCATTTTATATACGTTCATCTGGTCATTGAGTAGTCAACAATGTTATGTTCGTCATTCGTTTAGTGGTAATATATTTAAAATTGAAGTCAGTCGAAGTTCTAATAGCTCAATGGTAGCACTTCACACTGTGAAGCTAAGTGATAGGGAATCGGATCTCATGAGGCAAAAGTTCTATCATAATTGCAGATATGACTGGTCAACTAGCATGAAACGAGAGTCATTGGTTCCCCACCACTTAAATTTTCAACATAGAGCACACAATGTTTAGTTACTGGCCATGCAAAAGCCTGATAGACAGAAATCGTGTAGTAAATAAACGGAGTATTGGCGAACTGTTAGTCACTTTATTTGATACAAACTCACCATCCATCAGTTGAATGATCATCCGTACTTAATATTCTGTGTTTAACCACAAAATCACCAACTTCATGTTCCTGATTTATACGAACAATGCTTTGAGGACACCTATGATCGATTTCTAGTCACCAACGAACATCCTCTATTTCGAAAAGCCATGTTCTTTAGCTAGAAATGAGAAAAAAGAGAACCGTTGAGGAGTATAGCCGCCGTTTAGTTGGAATACGGATATCGTGCTTACACTAAATATGATGAAAGTTGGCAAAAGTCAGTTTAGCTTAATGAATTTCTTACCGAGATTTTATCGGACACCAGACAATCAGGACTGATGAAACTCGCTATATAAGTGACGTTGTTGATACGCTCAACTACTCCACACTCAACAGCATTAATTCAAGCGATTTCACAGAGCAGTCCTAAAGTGACATTTTGCATCCAGCAGGACAGAAACGCATTTAAAACAAATCATTGATTGCTGTAATAAATAGTGTATTACAGCAATCATGAGTCCAACTACGTTGTACCACTGCTGCAGCAAAATATACAAGGATAATTTTCAACCGATAATACATTGAAGTTCAACCTGTTCGGGTGTAGACAGTGACTACCGAAGACTGTGTATGAGGTTGCGCAACTCCGTGAATTTGATCAAGTTAGACATTAACACCGTTAGATACCGGTTCAGTGGTCTATCGGTTAGGGCGCTCGCGCACAATACCGAAGGTCCTGGGTTCGAATCCTGCAGGGTGCAGGAGTCGTGGATGCGCACTGCTGAGGAGTCCCAAACCAGGACGAAACGGCTGTCCAGTGCTTCCAGGTTTCTAATGGTGGCCTAACACTAATCGATTCGTGGTTTCAGAAATGTGTAACTTAACAATCTTCACAACCCCGTAATGCAAATGCATTATTCGTTAGTTGTAAAAACTACGACAACTACCAAAAAACATATATACATGCATATATGTATGTTTATATATACATATATATAAATAAAACAAAATAGTCCATTTGTATACACATGTAATTTAAATTGAGCAGAAATCGTTCACTGAAAAAAAAACACATTTAAACAAATTCACATGCATCACATCATCTATAACACACCATTATACACATTTATGAATGTGTAAGTAGATATGTGTTTTCTTAAAAAAATTTTTTGTGATCAATAACTGTACACATCAGTCGGTTGGTTGTTTTCATTGTCACAATAAAATCTTATCAAATAATAAATAAATAAATATTTTAATTTTTTTTTTAAAAAAAACTATCACATCGAGAAATGTTTGATTCAATGTTTCAACACAGTTTTCAATCAAAAAAAAAAAAAGAAAAAATAATCAAACTCAAATCAATAAAAAAAGCACAAAGAGGATTAAGTTAATGAAACCACATTAAAAATGAAATGTTGATGAATTGAATGTCGTCAAATGATTATTTTAGAAAGAAAAAACAATAACAACAATCTATCACATTGTTAATGTAGACACACAAAAGATCTACTTAAAAATGAAACAATATTTCATCAAAATAATTTTCATATATATGTATATATATCACACAGTGAGTGATATTTCATTTTCAATGCATATATATATATATAGTTATTGTTTGATGAATCACATAATCAAACAGGTTCACAGTAATTATGAGTTAATTGATCAATTAAAACACAAATAACAGCAGTTATTGAACATTGAACCCGATTATTCATATATTTTAACATGAATTATTAAGTGAGGAGCACATGGTAGTAGCTATTGTGTTTTAATCAATGGCAGGAGATAATTTCACATGAATCATTATTGTTTTTCTTCTGATTTTGCTAGTGATAGTGGAATCAGCGTAGTTTTTCCGAGAAATTCTGTACACCAACTGATGATGAAGATTGTCGACTTAACATATCTAATGTAGTAGTACTATTATTATTATCCATTAAATAAACTAAATCATTTGGATCATACCATTGATTAGTACTTTGTTGACATAAACTTGCAAGAAAATCACGAATTATCACTAATGTCAATAGAATACAATGTATCATAATTCCAATAAAAATAGCTCCAAGTAATGTAAGTAATATACGTGATAGATTAGAAAAATCTTGATAACCATTTGGTAATAATGCATGTCCACCAATCAGTACAGTTGGATTAGAAGGAAATGGTATAGTTTTATTTAAATTACCAAGCGTATATGATAAATACAAGCTGAATGTTACAATAGCTAAATACAATAAATGTACAATGACTGGATAAAATGCATGACATAAATATAATGGGATACTGTTTAAAAATAAATCCATTAATATTAAACAACCTGGTAGACTATGTTTCAATGTTTGTTCAAGGGCTAAAATGGAAAGAAAAAATCATATAAATAGAAAGAGAAAGATGTTTATTATTCAATTCGGGTAGTGGCGCATAAGTATTTTGATTAGATAGGATAATAAGTAGGTGGGGAAAACGAAGTAAGAGTAACTTACTAACGGTCGATAACAACTCGTAGATTGACACAACGAAGTTTATGTCCGTTATAAAAATGATGGTGATGATCAATTGGATACGTTTTGATAGTATTGTGCAGCTGTATCATGGTCATTCTAGACAATAACATCAACAATACCTAATTCAAGTAAAAATCAGTCAGTCAATTACAATGAAGAACCTCGTACATACATACATGAGTTCAGGTTGCCATACTAAATTAGCACAGAGATGCAATTGTCTATTCAAATCCCATAGTAGTAGAGATAGTAAAAGTATTAGCGGTGATGGAGAAGATTCAGGTTCGAAGACATGATTCGAGAAGTACAATTCAGTGAGATAAAGTTAGAAAGACAGGGGTAATGAGAAGTTACGAAGATTAGAATTTCAAAGAACCCAAAGAATGATTGCACCTGTGCCATTACAAACGGTTTTGAGCCATGTCATTCAAGGTCTCTAACCATCGATTACTACAATCTCGCGGACCACGAACTGATAGTGTACACCTACCAACATGACTCAGTTCACTTGTCAGTGATTTCATGGATTTATGCCATGTTTTGGTTTGGCCGCCCCTAGCTTCCTTCCAACCTACTACTACACCGCAAAATATCGCCCATCAAGGCAGTTGCTGGTTGGGTATACGTAACACATGTCCCAACTCAAGTAGAAATCAGCTTGTTTTCTTTTTAAAAACCTTATTTGTGGTCAATTATCTCTGTTTAATTTGACATGCATTTTTGTTTTTTCATTGATTGGTGATGGTTAACTGAATTTTCACACATAAACTGGTATATTGGATGGATCTATATTAAGAGGGTTAATGAACGTTATAGTTTACACCAAGAGCTGGTTTTAATCCTTCATTTCTTAACCGCGCAACCTTCATTCACTATCAGTTTTGAAATGAAATTAGTAATGAGTTCGTACTATTGCAACAAGTGTGAGAACTACAGAAGCCTCACTCTTATGTTAATACCAGGCAGTCTTCAATAGGGTATCGCTAAACAGGATGAAGGACTTCGTAGACGCCCAACTTCGAGATCAACAGGCTGGATTTCGTAAGGATCGGTCGTGTACCAACCAAATCGCAACATTATGAATCATTGTGAAACAATCTATTGAATGGAATTCACCACTCTACATCAACTTCATTGACTACGAGGAAGTATTTATTGCGTGTACAGGAAAACACTAAGGAGGCTTCTTCGACACTACGGCGTGCATGAGACGATAGTCAACATTATACGGAATTCTTATGATGGATTCAACTGCAAAATCGTGCACGGAGCTCAGCTGACAGACTCGTTCGAGGTGAAGACCGGAGTCAGACAAGGTTGTTTACTCTCACCCTTTCTCTTTCTCCCGGTGATCGACTGGATTATGAAGACGTCAACATCTGGAGGGAAGCACGGTATCCGATGCACAGACAAGATGCAGCTGAACGATCTGGACTTCGGAGATGACTTGGCTCTTCTATCGCACACGCAACAACAAATTCAAGAGAAGATTAGTGTAGCAGCAGCCGCAGATCGCACCATACATAAATCGTAAAGGTTTTACCTTATCAAATGAACATGACGACTGGATTGATGTTGCAAAGTTTTCGGTAGAACTAAATTATATCAACGGCTATCAAATAAATAGAATCGACCGATCAGAGTACAGACAGCGTTTGTTAGATTTAGTCATGGTTTCTAAAAAAATTGCGGATGGCCGTTTTGTTTAGCTGTATGATTACAAATCAGCTACAGACAGTTGAACTATTTGCAAAAGCTACATTCAGATTGACTGACCTCAAGATCTGTCTTAGAACCGGTTAAGCCCCTCAGTTCTACTACGTATTCTATTCAAAAACATGAATTTTTACAAAAATTTATCAAAAAACCATTATCGAACGTTTGTAGTCGGATAAGCAAGTGTTAAGTAAACAGCTTTGTTAATGATGATTTGAAGTTAGTTTTATTTCGCATCTGAGACAATGGAAAACAATAGATCAAATAAAAAATCGAACTTTGTTCAACATCCAAGCAATCAATGACAAGAATATAACAGTGAACCTTAAGGACTCAAGTTCTAGTTATTTTAACACAGTTAACCAATCAAACAAAGCCATCATTTATTATTAGTTGTCATAGTAATGCTACTGAATAGCCTAAATGGTGTTATTAAAATGTGTTTGTATGTAAACTGATAAATAAAATTCATTGGACCTGAAGGAGTTCTATTCAATTTCTGATATATAACAGAAATTGATTCTATTTAAGAAAGCAGCTCTCATTACATGCACGATTCATGCAGCAGCCTTGAACAATGAACCATTTACTACTGATCCACCTTGTTTGAGACGGGAAAAAATTTAGAATGTTCAAGAATTGAATACTGTTGGTTAAAGTTGTAGCAAAGTAGACAAAGACAATATGAGATTAGAAAGAAAACTAGTTATTAAATAGAAAAATTTAATCCCTATCAATGTGATCTATGTTGAATTACGCCAAGCAAACATTGTCTTCAGTCCATAGAATCTAAAAATTTGACTTTGACAACATACTTCTATATCGTTTACGTGCCTTTAATTGATAAACCTACTGATTTGCTTCAACCAATATTACAGATAATCTGATACAGATAACCCAACACAAAACCATCAATCTACGTACAATTATGCAAATTGTAACACTGTTACGATCTGTGGTTGTCCGACTTTGTCCGATTCAGCTATTTGAGTGGGAAGCTTTAACCAACTAACTAGATTGAGAATATATGTACAACTCATTCGTAAAACCACATCTTTCTGTCCTATACAATCATGAGTGCCTTTATTCTTGAGAAAGTGAAATTAAATCTTAACTAACAGAGTGAGCCCATTCACAGTTCTTACTTATTATTTAGTCTATGTCTGGCTAGGCCAGATTATCAAATACTTGAAGGGTTCAAAAGATAAAAGATAAAAGCATTCATTGACAGAAACATTTAATGTTGAGTTTATCAGTAATAAATTCGAAATGACTGAGCTGATTACACAAAATTTACAATTAAATTAGATTATGGTACGTAAAGAAAAGAAAATCCATGCATCAAAAACAAACTACTACATCAAAGATACTGAACATCTGTTTCAAGATGTTGGAGAAAACTTGTAGCTCAGGTGGATGATTGTGGTGGTGTTTTTTGTTCTCTGAGCTGGTTCTTTTGGTTGTGAAGCTTTCATTGTTCTTCTGAACAACATCATTAGCACAAACTTCTATCAGATTAAGTTAGTGGTAAGCTGATATCTCAGTTACAACAAAATTAACAAGATGAATCACAAAGAGGAGTGAATGTTATGTTAATGTTGATCAAATCAATAAAAAAATACATTAAAATTTAGAAAATGCAGTTCGAATAAACTGGAAGAAATATATGAAATAAAAAGTTTGAAACCATATTTTAGAAATTACGATTCACAAGAAAACACGGGAGAATTAATACACCTTTGAAAATATATTCATGATGAATGAGTATCAACCACCGAACAGATTCACAAATTTCAACAGTTACGTTTCATAACAAACCGAAAGTCTATACCAACACCTACTAGTTTTTTTTTATAAGGAAACATTATACTAGTATCACAAGATGAAAACAACTTAACTCTTAAACATTGAATAAGTTTAATTATACCTGTATTTGCCAACTATAAATATATCAACATGAATGATTTCAACTGTTGTTTTTTTTCGGTAATATAAAATTAAGAGAAAGACAACATAATAAGTATGAATCAAATAGCTGGCTACCTACCTGACTTTATCAGAAAAAAATAAACAGTAAACAAGACTACATGTCGAATAGATCAGTTTATGGCAGTATATATTCATCCAGATATGATATAAAAACATGTCTAAACAAGAAATTAGAGTAAACTGTCTAGTTAGTTTAATTGTGAAAAATATATGACAATCACGTATACTATGAAAGTAACTGTATTATACATGATTTAATGAAAAGTTTGAAGACAATTTGTGTTTTACTTATCAAAAATAGAAAAAAATAGTCACTAAAGAGTTTGAAATGTGTGTTTATCAGTTAGTTAGTTAGTTCAGAGATGCATGATCGACAAATTATACCTCTTAAATGTATGGCTGCAGATGAGCTTGTGTTAATGATGTTGTTCAGAAGAAGAACAATGAAAGCTCCACAACCAAAACACCCAGCTCAGAGAACCAAAAGCGCCACCACCACAATCATCCACCTGAGCTACAAACCTTCTCCATCATCTCACATATGAGAATAGGTAGAGTTCTTATATGTTTTATGACTGAATTCACTTGTCAATCCACCCTTTCTAATCCTACTCCAACCATCTATGCAGAATATAGTATAAGCCAGTATCGTCGACTACGAATTTAGGTGACAAAATTCAATTTTGATTCAAATGGGGCAGTTATTTTAGGAGGTATAGTTGAAACACTATGAAGAGATATTTCTACATGACTACAGTGGCCAGGATCGTTGAATGTGCGAAAGTTGTATCTGATGAAAATCTTGGTACTTATTACTTCTAATGGGAAATCATGAATCATCAGATGACAGGCAAAGAAAAATATGAAGACAGGTAGATGAGGAGTTATTTGGCACCAAAATAAAGCAAAATATATCATTATTTGAATAAAATAATTTCTGTATGGTGTTTACACTGATTAACAGTTAGATATATAGACTTTAGCTAATCAATAATTTACCGAATAAACACAGATATACAATATAACAAAAAATTAACTGTCTTATAACCAACAAATATAACTGATATGATTAATCATAGACGATTTGAATAAGAATTCAATAAGTTACTGACACTACTCCAACTGCGGTGAACACCACTCACAAAACTACTTGTAAGTAGTAGTATGCAGTGGAGTGATGCGTGACATTTCTACCAAAGAGAAGATCAAAGTGTACGGCCTGATCAGAATGTTTGAAGACGAGAATAGGAACGAAAGAAGACAGTTTATAAGAAGCTTGCATTGCAGAATACACAAAAGAGGATGGAAGATTGTGTACATGTAAACAACGTAGACATAACTTCTCCAGCACAGGTAAATAAATTTTTTCATGTAAATTCATTAAGGTCGAAGTTTGTTAGTTATGAAAATCATATTTAACCAGAAGTGTTAACGGATTATATTTCCACTGAAACTGTATCATGCTTATGATGGATATTTGGTGAACAATTGTCAATTTCTAATGCCAGACAGCAGTGGCTAAAATTGGTTTTCAAAATGGCTATTTAACCTACATTTGTGTTACAAATCATCAGTGTGAGCTTTAACTGTAAACGATATCAGTGGACCGATTTAAATTTCTCACATTTAGATGCGGATTGCGTTTTGTGACAGATAGACATATTAACACGGGTTTCGTCAATTCAAAGCATAATCCCGACTTAGTTGAACTCCAAGTTTCACACCTATAATTCAATATACAGAATTTTTTTCCCATGAACAAGAGTACATCTACCTAGTAATACTCTTGATTCAGTGAAATCTATAGTAGCATAATATCAAAATGGTAAGTGGTATTTTATAAAATATTATTTTTTTAGCAAGAGATTTCGTCATAAATATGATAGACAGTGTTACATTCAAGGATTTTATAAGAGTAGAATGAAGACTGTTGACTACTGTAGTAACTTTCCGTGGTTTGGAGTCAAAGTTTTCCAACTCTCCAACATATCAACCAGGTTAAACCGCCAGATAATCACTGTCCGTCCCCTCAAATCCGTAAATAACAAGAGAACGCAGTGGGTAGGACTTCTCTGACAGTGGCTAAATGTGCATATCCATAGGAGAATTTTGAGAGAGAGAGAGAGAGAGAAAGAAAGAATGGACTTCTCCAGTCTCGGACGTACCAGGATATTCGGGTATCTTACCAAGGCTCATATATAACGTCATTACAAACGGTATATCACCTGACATGATCTACTGGGAAATCGCTGCGGTGGGTTAGCTAATAAGCTAAAACAAACCTTAATGCATATTCACTGTAATAAAGACTTATTGATCTCATAGTGTCATCTCAGTAGTAATATGTATTCATTATAATTTATGATTAAGAATTTGGAAGACTCATGCATCTAACTCATACAGTTCCATTTTATATTTTAGATTATAAATATAAAAATTAAGAGGTAGAATTCAATATTGTTCTTAGTAAATGTTAGTTGTTGTTTTTACTCATGTCAGATACAGGTTAACAATAGAATCTATGACAAGCTTTCAGTCCTCCTTACGACTAATCAGTTTGATATTCACATTAAGATTTGAACTAAATACGTTTTGCTTTAAACGCCAATGTACTATTTCCTAGACTACTGATTTTAGATAGCTACTCACCTATACAGCAGGTATGAATTTGGTTTACTATTGTTTATATTTTCTGGTAGATCATGTGACTAAATTTCAAGGCGATCCGCTCCAAACTCACACATATCAGTAGTAGAGACGGATCAAATAAAATCTTTAACGTCAGTGAACGCTAAAACAATTGTTGTTTATAGTTAACATCACCCTTAATTTAAACAACAATTCAGTAATTATGAATCGGTGAATATTAACATCGGTACAGCCCATGTGACATGAAATTTTCATAGAAATAGTTCAAAATTGATTTGTATTGATGTGTTTATTGCTTTTACACATTACCACTATTATTATTATTATTATTATTATTATTATTATTAGTGATTTCGCCTAGTTATTGTTTTCTTCAATCTATGCGTTCTTATTTATATCGATTAACTATGTATGACCTTCATTTATAGAAAATAGTAAAAGTGATCATTCTACCACTTGAAGTGAATAAAAATTATTATCTTGTTAAAGTGATCAATGAAGTAGACTATTTTTTTCTTTAAGATATTATTGTTATTTATATAAGGGATTAGTTAGGATTGTATTATTTTCACAGTTATTCACCGCATCCAATCGATGAAAGTTGTCTAATATCACGGATTGATTAAAGAGAGGCAATAACGATGTTGGATGTCGGATAAGTGGTCCAAATGTTAAGCATTCATATGCAAGGTCAAAGGTGTTGCGTTCGAATCTCGTTTGATGGTTCGGGACCGCACACTGCTGATGAGTCTCATAATAGGATGAAATGACCGTTAAATGCTTCCAGGTCCCCAATGGTGGTCTAACATTGATCGATTCATGATTTCAATGAAATTAATATGAAACAAATGTTCACTAAAACAGCTAGTTTTTGAAAACTTTTCTGTTGTTGATGAAATCACTTTCAGATGAAAATAAGCATTAACTTATCAAATATTTTTAATACAGTCTATTCAAAAGCGAAAACAACCGCTGTAGGTACACGCAGCACAAAGATGACCAAAAAACTGAATGAATACAGTAAGAAAAACAGTCATCAATGAGACAACTGTCAATCGATCTCGAGTATAATCCCAAAAAATCTTAACACTCATTAGTACTGATGTACGTATGTACGTACGAAGTTCTAAGTTGTAACTGACTGACTGACTGACTGACTTAGTGCAAAAAATTAGAACGATCAGTATCATTGCAAGGACCAAAAACACAACAGAATAATAGAAACAATTTGACGCTTCGACATATTTAATGTCAAAATTATAGGTCGCTTTCTATATTATGTTAAAATCAACTGCAAAATTATTCGAAGATCAGGTGGACGAAGTAGGTGCTTCATACAACTTTGGCACTTTTCAGCAATGTGTATTCACGACTTAAAACGAGACAGAACTCAGATTTCATTGACAGCTTGAAACACTCAGTTTCACTAATTAATAAATTATCACTGAGATATTCAAGCAGCGACTGACTCCCTGTAGAACTGAGATAACTAAACTGATTGTTCATTGATTAGTAACCAATCTCATGCATTACGTGCACCCAACTACCGCCTATTTCGACAAACGATATTTGCTGATATGGCAGTAAGAAGAAAGAGAAGTCAACCCAAAGTAAGGAGTCAGTGCATGAAGTCATTGGTTTTTAAACAAAACTGTGTGGGTAGATGCAGACTAACTAGCTGACTCCCTCACCATTACTATAACTAAGGGTTGGGAACGTTGAATGACATGCCTCAGAATTCGTATCAGGGAGGAAATACATTCAGTCAACGTCTTCTCTTAGATCTTGAGGCTAGAAATTATTTTATACTATTTTTATTCTGTGAATTCATTCTTATTTTTGGAATCATAATGCTTTTATTGAATCTTTTCAACTGATACTATTACTACTACTATTCTAGCATCGATCTCTGTCATTCCGATATACTAATATAATGTGGCAACTTGAACCGATGTATATTTGTCGCATCTTAAGTTGCTCATCAACTAACTAACTAATCAATAAGCGTAAAGTGGAGACTCAAGTATTCTCTTAACAAACACTTATAAACACCAAAAAATATTATGTACATTTGCATATACATGTGTATACAGAGGTTAAATTTAACAGATTAGCCAATTAATGATGCTTTTTATATTTCAGAAAAATTACTTACAATATTGAAGACCAGTTATCATCCAATGAAGTGTCATTGTTGAATAAACAGAATTTACACTGCATGTATATAATAACCAAACAAATTTATAAGGAATCGTAGCTACAAGGATAAATAACACAGATAGTAACAATAAATAAAAACACAACTATGAAACGAATATTTTTTTCATTGAGACTATAACAGGAACGATAAGATGTATTTGAAAACTTGGCAGATAGACAGATAGACAATCACCCAGCAGCTTATTGACTTTTAATTGTATAATTTCCTTTCATGTTACTGATTTTAACTCCCGACTCATTGAGTGTAAAGTGCTTGCAATAGTGTTGAATAAAGCATTGACTAGTCCATACATACTCCAGTGCTCTACTTTTGATCGTGAATCAATTTTATCTGAAGACAGCATATTGATTGAGTATTCAGTCTTGTGGTATTATAATCTCGGTTACCGATCCTATTATCCCATTACAATATATAGTATAGCGTGAAACATGAAATAACTTTCCCCTGTTATATCATTATGGAATAATCATTTTCATTTACACAGTTGATATGATGGGAAGTCTAGCAGTCAGTCAAGCCTTCGTTCATTGACAAGCGAATAGACCCACCCACAACGTTGATATCCTCCAATCGATTATGACACTTAATCAAGTTGGTTTTTGTGTGCTAACATTTTGTATAGAAGCACAAAATTTCATTACAAGTAAAAACCTATTTTTCGGCTAGTAGTTTTGTTTTTAATTTCTAATCATTCGAAGGATTACGTCGATAATTCGGTATGATGAGCAGGTATCATTTAACTATGGTATATCATTTTGTATACTGCCTATCGACCAGCATTCTTTACCTTCATTCATCATATCATGAAATCCAATGCCATTGTAGGATTTAAATTGTCCTACAGATGGACTTCTAGAATGGTAAACGCAATATTGGCGAGCACAGAGTCTATGGGAAAGCTACAGTTAGAAGAAGATCAACTTTGCTTGAAAACCTTATCTGTTTCTAAACATAAAAACAATTAAATTGGTACAATAAATAAGGAAATTACAATTATCAAGTAAAACGAACAAACGTACCAACCAATATAGCGTGTCTTATGGAAATGAGTACAGTTATGAGTCACATCAATATAATAAGATTAAGAATGTCAATCAATTTGTAGGTCATTTACAACAAAGAAGGTTTACAGACACATCAGGTCAGATCACGTGGTGGGCGCTCAAACCACAATCTGATTGGTCAGTTATGACATAACTACAATTAGTTATGGAAATAACTAACAGCCATAACAACAGATGTAAAGTCAACTAAATAAAATTACTTCAAACTTTGAAACGCTAAATAGATGTTTTATTTATTTTCAAAAATGCGCTACAACTGAGTTTTAGTATATCGATTAAAAGACTATTAACTTCCGTTATACTTAAAATCAGGGTTGAGTGTTTCGCTTATATATATATATATATATATATATATATATATATATATATATATATATATATATATATCGGTTAAGGGCTTTTTCCCTCTTAAAATATTCAATAAAATTGTAGCTCAACACAATCACACATTTATACTACTTAAAACTAGCTATATAATTTTAAATTACAAGCCAAAAATAAAGAACACTACTGAGTAATATAACAATATCGTGTGTAGTATATTACATGTTTCTTTTTAAAAAAAAACAATTGGGTGTGGTTTCATAGTTCTTTTGCAATAGAAATCAAGTACCATACTTTTAAACAAATTACTTGATTTTATTTTCAAGCTTATTCATAAAAAATAGGCCCACTTAATTTGATTGGTGTACATTTATTTATTGTTTAAAAGCAAAAGAAGAAACGATCTTGGATGATCGGGAAGTAATTCTTAGTTTTAGTAAATAAACAAAAAAACTAGAACCTTTTAAGCGCATTATTACAAAATACAATCAATCGATGGAAAGTATGAATTCATATTCATCTGATGTGTGTGTGTGTGTGTGTGGGTATTGTTAGCGTTATTGTGATTAGTTGTATCCTTTGGTTTAAGTTTCATGTATAGATTTTCTGAAAAATACATACACGTATATACACACGCATATTGAATCATGGTAGATAGTATAAGATGCTGTATTCAAGATCATGTGTTCATTAATTAAACAATGACCCTATTAATAAACGAAAATTAAAAGGATATATTTTTGCTAATCAATACTATTGATGTGTTGTTATCTATCTATCTCATTGATGAGTCTTAATTATAATATATAATATAAATTAATTCGTTTATAAATCAATCAAAGAGAGAGAGCTATGGTTCTTCAACTTTTAACTTGATTGAAGAGTAGTTGGTGGTTTAACACTTACTTGCATAATGCCTATTTCAATTCAGATGTTCAGATAGTAATGACTAGTGCATTTTTCATTAGAAACAAACATGCGGAATTAGATGGTTTAAGGTTTAGGAAACAAATAAATATATTGGTGAGTTCTAATCTCTCTGGATGTATGTCCAATTACTTTTCATTTAAAAAATTTAGAAAAAAATTAGAGGATTTGTGAACCTATGACGTTAAACAAGAACAGAAATAATAATATTTGATGTAGAATGTAGAATCTCATTATAATTCTGTTAGGATATTCATCCAATATCCTAAGAGAATTATTGGTCTATTCTTATTGGTTCATTCCTACTGGTCAATTTTATGATCGTCCTACATATCAATGTCATCAGCTCCAATGTTGCTTCCTATTGGTCATCTTAACTATCAATGTCATAGACTACGATGCTGTTTCCTATACGACCAAAATGTATAAATACGCATTATCTGTAACGTTTTATGACCACGACCAGGACCAGGGCTCGGTCCCGGACCCCTAATCCGGGATCCTGATTCTCTTCAGGATTCGGACCTCGTACTTTCTGGATGCTTGTAGAATACAGATTCTACCTCATATCAAGTCTTCTTATTTTTACTCAATATTGGGTTTGGGATAATCGGATTTGAGTGGCATGTCGTATCGCCGGATCCTCGCTCTCGTTTCCCGACTAAGGTAAACTCGTAATAGTTTAAGCATATCAAAATAATGTGTTTACATGCAGGCGTAACAATATAAAAATTAAAATACATTGGTTTGACTATATTAAAAGTATGATAGGAAAGAAAGCTTGGAAAATCTGTTTCATGATAAGCTGTGTTTTTTCATTATAGGAAAAACTGAGTCAGCTACAATGTATAACTTAGTACGCACCTAAATCAGTTCAAGTTGACATACAATATTAGTACAGGGAGATGGAATCTTCAAGTCAAATCCCATAAAAGTAGAAGTTGCAGCATTCAAATAAAATCGGTAGCTAATTGGATAAGCAACCAATTCAAATCTCAGTGTGCGGACAATAATAGTCGGATTCAGACATACCCAAATACCGAGTCTCAAAGAGAATAAAACACATGTAATACATTCCACTGGCTATCCAGCTTTAATGATAAAACTTACGTCTGAAAGATGATATTTTTCAGAGTTAAAGAGATCAGTGTTCTCACACATTGAAATAATCAATCAATCATTGTTAGACTGATGATTTCAATGTATAAAAACACTGATCTCTACAACTTGAATTAAACAATCCGTACAATGTGCTCACTGGTTACTAGCTTCGTGAGGAGTTCTAGTGAAAAGATGTGACCAAACGAGTTCAACACTGTCGGGTGTAGGCAGTAAGTACCGAAGACATTGGATGAGGTTGAGCAAAATCATCAGATTGATCAGAGTTAGGTGTTTACACCATTAGATGTCGGCTCGGTGGTGCAGAGCTTCGCCGTTCACGCGCAAGGCCGAAGGTCATCGGTCCGAATCCTGCGAGTGGCAGGAGTCGTAGATACGCGCTGCTGATGAGTCCCACACCAGGACGAAACGGCTGTCCAGTGCTTACAGGTTTCTAATGATGGTCTAACAATGAATGACTGATGATTTCAATGTGTAAAGGACGATATATCAGGGTAATCTGCTCAGGATGTCCATGTTCTAGTAGAAACTGGTCATCTGCTGTCGTTAATATTACAGTGGAAAAATACAATTCCTTACAAACAGAACAATCTAGTTTAATTACCAGTCTGCAGAGTCTTCGCTATGTAATTTAACACCAGTTGAATAATTATTGAAAACCAAGAAATCCTGAAAGTATAAGATAGTTTATTATTAGTTTAGGACACCTTTTTTCAACAATGCACTATATATTTTTCATTATTATATATCCTTAGCTTCTATCATTACTGAAAACCCAGGTTAAACTTCCATACTTAAGATAAATAAACATCGGTCAACTCAAATATTTATCCAGGCTGAATGTTTAGAAAGTCTTCTTAGTACTGTTTTCTATAAAAAGTGAAACAGGTGTATGGTTTGTATGTTTTCACACATAACGCTAAACAGTAGTGGTTTTGCTATATAGAGTCTTTCAGTTTCCCACATTCAATGTACCTATATAATGGCTGCTGTGGTTGTCAGAACAGGCATCAACCTTGTGACTTCCGAAGAAACTGGGTTCTCACCATCAGATGTAATAACGCTTTTAAATGAGGACCTCCCAACTCTTAGGGCAGAGTTTAAATGATTTGGATTATTTTTTATGGTTAGCGTTTTTTCAGCAAGTTGGTTTTCTACGGGATTGAGTTGTTAACCTCATAACCAACCCTTCTCCTTTATCCGGGCTTGGAACCGGCAGCAAGAATAGCATTCGATGAGTCAACTTCTCGATTTTAGGGCCTTACAGCCGAAGGCAACAATTTGTGAGGTAAGGTGAGATGTTTTATTTTTAGTGTCCACCGTTTCTAATTCCCTTCTTTCTTTGTGGAAAGGCAGCATCGCTGCAGATGAGGGTTGGTAGTATCAACTCGTCCTTAGACCGTAAGTTTGCTGTTGTTAGTATTAAAACTTTCCAACTAAATTGGCTGGTGTGGTAGGCACTAAAGGAGTGGGGTGCTACAGCCAATATAGTTCGATTGAACCATCACGATAGGCAAGTCTGACCACGACCTCAAGGTAACAACTGTGGTCGGGGTTTTACTAAATTAATTCAATATCTTACATTAATAAAACATCAACTGCTGCCGCGAACAGATTGTAGTCGATGATACAAATTTACAACACAAAGTATTCGTTAGTGTGCAGGAGAAATTTATAAAAGTAGCTGAACTAAACAGTATTCTAATTTCTAATGAGATAAAATGAGACGTGATTTGCAATCTTTAACTAACTAAAATCAAAAAGAAATATAATACTGTTTTATTGATTAGACTAAGTTTTGGTCCAATAAGATTAGAATTTAAATTACGTAAACCCGATAGTCACGTACCTAGATTTTAATAAATTATGAACACACAGTGAATAAATAATCACTCGTTAAATAAAGTAAAAGAATGAAAGAGGTATTCTCTTAAGTTTCCTCCTATTAAACATACTGTACGTTGATTTCATTGTCACACCACAACGCGGTCAAACATATTTCGTGTACAAACGCGTAAAGTAGTCCACTTTCATAGACATTTGAAAATACGGAGACCGACTCAACCATTTTATCAATGAGAAACCCGTCACTAATTTTATAAATTATATATGGTAAAAAAAAGTCGTGGAAGCAGACAATTTTCCAGTAATATTTGCGAAATGAAAAACAATAAGTAGAGATATTCATATGTTCAGCATTATTAGAAAGCTTGAGTAAATAATATTTTTTACCATCGACTTAAAGCTTGAATTTGATTTTGACCAATTTGGTCTCGTGTGCTGGTACGGGTATGAGGGCGGTTGTCACTTCCCGGTTGCCCACACCGTGGAAGGTTGTTTCTTGAGGAACCTGAAAAGGAGGATAGGTTAGTGTTGGTCTTAGAGACCTGGATGCGTGACCGTTCACGCACGGCCTTTTTATGAAGGGTTTTTTGAGGATTAGCTCCGCTCTTGAAAGCCCTTAGTGGGCACCCTTACCGACCGAGACGGAAATCCGTGAGGTAGGGTGAGGTGTGACATTTTTAGGGTCGACCTTTTCTAACTCTTCTTTCCTTATGAGAAAGCAGCATCGCTGCAGATGCTGGTTGTCCGAGGGAAACACCTTACTGCTGTCACACCCCTCTGCAGTCAGCAGTACGACTTCACCCTCAGACCTTGGGTAGCTGCTTTTATTCTGATCGTTTTATAATCGACCAGCCTGGCATGGTAGAACCTTCAGGAACACATGTTTCAGCCAGTATAGCTCGGCTAGGTCATCACGATAGTCAGGCCCGACCACCACGTCAAGGTAGTAGCTACGGTCTGTCTGTCTAAGGCTTGAATCGCACTATATTAAATTCTCAAAAGATGAAGTTTTCTATTATCACATAGAAAGAGAATACATGAGGTTTATATGAGCACAACCCATCAGTTGACATCACAGTGAAAAAGCAGGCAAATCTCTCAAATAGCTCCTATATATAGACAGAAGTTTGTTACTTAAACTATTGGTTAATAACTCAGAGTGGTCTAAAACTGATGATAGCGTTGAAGAAACTGTAGAGCTATGTTCACTACCTAATGTAGTCAAGCTAAAGTGCTGACTGAAGAAACTCAAAATAGGATGAAGAATATCCAACGCTTTCTGGTTTTACACAGTACAATTTTTGAGGTCGACATGTAAGCTAACTTCTCATCAAAAAACTAAACCCCACAATTAATTCTCACTTGTGGTAAAGCTACATTATAAGGATGAACTTAAATGACTTTGAAGGAGCTTGAAGAATCCTAAACCGTTTAGTCAGTCAGTAACAGAAGATATAAACGAATGAATTATAATGTTAGAAGATTTAGGAATAGGGTATTTTAGAACTAAGTATAGGATTCTCATCACGAATCGACATCAACTAAAATCAAAGAATGCTGCATAAGCTGTATGAATTGACGAATTTTGTAAAAAAAAGCCAAGAGGTACTATCGCGAATTCGATCGATTCGTTCATAAATTTTAATCTCATAGTTTAGTCTTAACCTTGGACATAAGCATATGGTACTGCTTTTATCAATGGTGCCTTATGAAATCGAGGTGGTTTACTCATTCCTACAGTTCAGCTTTGCCACATACATAGATATACCACGTATCGATTTGTAGTACTTACTTTCGTTATTCGATTCCCCATTTCGTCTAAAAATTAACACCGTATTATATGCCAATATTAAATAACATATTGCTGTACTCAATAAAGCCCATTGAGATGCATCCAAATACCAGGACAGAAAATCTGGAAATTTCGAATCACGTAGAATTATCCATATATAATCCAAAATAAGTAGAGTTACAAATAGGAAAGCAAAAATACATCGATATATTGCAAATGCATTTCCTCGACTAAAACATATGTACTATAATCCAAAAGATAAAACATAAAAGAGATGGATTAGGCTTACAGCGATCAGTAAATATTTGGGGGGTGGGGAAAACCTAGGGAATAATATTAGATAAAGGGACAATGATAACGCGGAAAAAACCATGAAAATCGAATATATTCGCTTAGTTTATAACTCTCATCCATTCAGCTTTTATCATGGATACTCTCCGATTCTATCATATAGGAGCAGTTTTGAAGACATTCACAGTCAAATAACAACAGCAGACACAAATCCAAAACTTCTGTAATTCAAGTTTCATAGCTCCTGTCATGCTGGGTTTTCATTCCTGGATATGCAGATGAACATCTGCTAACTGCACCACAAGCAATGCCATTTTTCAAAAGCAAAGCAAACACTATGGTCATGTCGAAACTACAGCAGTACCCTACCAGAGAGTTGATCATACCTCTCAGGGACTTCGATCTAGATTTAAATAGAATAAACAATAAAGAGGCCCATGTGATGTACTACAAACCCTTCTTCTCGTGTGAGGAACAATCATACAAATTAGCTGTTTAAAACTCGTTAGGAGGTTCAGATCCATAACGGATTAACCATGGGACTAGTATCGCGAAATCACTCTCACTAATTTGATTTATTCCGAATGACCAACTAAATGCAAATCAGTGCACACGAATTTTTGAGTCACTATAATTAAAGGCTAACGATATCATGATTTTACCTAGATTGAGTGGGGTACGTCCCTAATTAGAGCATGCTTATGTAAATATAAGTAGCCAGTATGCAGAAGTAATTAAAGGCATTTGTACCATATTATGAACTTCATACTGCCTTCCAAATCTTTTCAATAGTTATAAGACAATAAGACTTTTATTATGTTTTGAGTATTTGATTTGGCACCTGTCAATGTGAGATGGGCCTATCCCTTTGGTGGCTTTATAACTGGACATATTCCAGACAACAATAAAAATCAATATCAGTCATGGTTTCGTAAATAATATGGTTAGCCGCCACCAAGGATGTCATGTTTACCACCTAGTACAAGCTATCGAAATTGTCAGATACATTAAAAACTCTATAAAGGATCAATATCTTCATTTGAAGTAATAAGTAAGTGATACTAAAACAGTAGATCAAAAATAATACAAAAAAAATCACTCACATTATACACGATAACCAACTTACTCTAAATTGATAGAAAACTTTAGGGTGGGGGTATACAAGGTTAAATCGATCCCTGGTGCACTCTAAGGCTATCTGTGAACACGACATCAGCAGATACGAGATAGAGTCCTAGGGATAAACTGTAACACCCAGCCTTTGGTGAATTTGCGTCTAGCTTGAAGGTACGTTGAGTGCTACAGGAGGGTGCGAAGCAGTTTATGAGAGTATCTGAGGGAATAAAGTGAGCCGATAACTCAGTAAGCAAATAAAATTCACTTACACCTAACAAAGTAGGTAACCGGCAACAATGGGAAACCAAGGTTCAAAATCTCGTTGCCCTATAGCACTAAGGCCACAAATATTTGATTAGTTATAACAAAGTAGCTACCATAAACCTCAACTGTTTATGTTCATTCACACTGATATGCAGGTTCTTTGGAATTTCTGTCTTTTTTGTATTAGAGGAGTTCGGATGCGAATAGTCATCAGTCTGTTTAGGCGGTTAACATCGACTTATTTTATAAATAATTTCAGTCCAGTATCCAATATCTTTTTCACAAGCCACTATAAACCAGCTTATTTCTTTTCAGTCGATTCTTGTTCTTTAAGTGTGGTTCCAGATACTTTGCAGTTATATATGAACCTGGATGTACCATGGACTGCGTAACTGCGTTAGGATATCTGGATACCAGCAGCTATCGCATAACCTGGCCAGAGGTCAGTGAGTTGCAATAATGATAATAATAATAATAATAATTTATTCTTAAAAAGCAACATGTTACAAGAGGTATGGCAATTTACAGGTAAGATCAAAATGTTTGAATTGCTAACATATCTTCTGTAGAAGATTGTTCAGGTAGATAAATATTTCATCAGATATATTGGCTATTTATAGAGCTCTAGAATTTTTTACATAAAATCATAGATAGTGTTTCAAACTCTAGAATGTACAATAAGACGATTGCGTTGCTATAAACCACTATTGGTTGAGAATCAATGGAAGGTTAATCCAAGTCTGCATACAACAAGAAGTGGTGAGGTAAATGTGTGCTGATACTCTTGTTGAGTTTCTCTAGATAAAAATTTGACAGGATCCTGGGTGGTGAGACCAAGTCTTCGGCAGTTATCAAGGTCAATATTTACGGAGTAGAATGAGATGCTGAAAAAGATAAATGAACAGAAAGGGTCGAAACAGAAAATATTCTTGTTTAAAAATGAATCATGACTCAGTAGATAATTTTTCGATAAAACATGTAGCCTCTGATTCTCCAATAACTCAGTGGGAATAATCGCAAATGTTGAAGTCTTCCTTCATAAGGTCTATTCTTTAACCATATCAGCCATTTAGTTGACAGTCTCAGCACTCGATTCAGGAGACTCACGTCTTTTTTAAGGAGAGGGAGTGAGGCGCTGTTGTGAATATAAGGTTGTGGGTGTGTGCATGTGTTGAAGGAACAGTTGTGGGATGATTGCACCAAGGTGTCATCACATAAAGTGAAGCCTTGGCTGAACTAGTGTTTAAGCTTTCTATGGTTATTAGACCGGGATCGCGCTTTGAGGAGACGTTAGGGAGTGAAATTACATGGAGGCCGTAAGTTGTTTGTGTCGCGTAGAACAGAATACTGTTGACGTGACATTGCAGCCGGCTAGGTTTTAACCCATTCTGCACTGCAAAGTCCCCTACTGTTGTGACGCCACTTTTGGTCACAAAAAAATCCTCTTCGCTTCGACCCCCCGATCTTTGCTTCGTCTGCATAGACCAACGAGTCATCAGTAAATATCAGCAATATGAGTAAACCTAAGATAGTGAAAATCCTGATGTTGCGACTCGCCAGCTCGCATACACTCTTCATACCTTGGTACAAAATTTTCTGTTCTTAAAGTAGTTTCTGGGCAAAGATAGAAGTGGACCAGTGAAGCACGTCTTCACAAACTTCTCAGTTAGTGGTAAGGTTTTTTGTCAAAAGCTTTTGAGAAGTCAAGGACTTCTATATTAACCGGTATTTTTCTGTCCCAGCAGGTTGTTTAGCTGTCTCTTGCTACCAGAACATTGCTTGCACACAACCTGTCTACCATAAACCCGTGTTGAGCTCCATGTGCTCCCTCATCTGCTCGTTTACGAGCCCTCCCACCACCCTCGACAGTTTCGGTAGTAATGTTGCTGGTCTGTAGCAGGCTGCGTCCTTCCTATCTCCTCCTTTGAAGATTGGCGAAAAGTTAGCTTGTTTCCATTCACCTGGGGGTTGTCGACTCTAGTGAATGCATGACCAGGCCACGTGTCGGTGATTTGATGACTTCTGCACAGTGTTTCAAGACCATAGATTGAATATTGTCACATGCTGATGACTTTCCTTGGCGCATGGATTTCGGTTTTCTTAATTCTAAGTCAGGGGTAAGTCGGATATTCCCTGGGCTGGAAGTAGCCTTGATTAGTACTTGGAACTTTTAGATACCTAGTTTAACTGATCCCTGTAGTTGGTCACAAAGACCTCAGGCATCTTTTGGTTCGGAAGACTTCGCCATTTTGACCTTTGATGGAACAAATACCTTGAATTGTAGGCTTTCTTTTAGTCATGAACCAAAAGATATATTTTGGGTGTGTATGTTGGCGGTTGACTTGATCTGGATGTGGCTCCTATCACTTCGAACCTTTGCAATGTATCTGTTTCTTAGTGTTAAGTAAGAACTACAGTCGGAATCCTTCAGCGAGACCTTCAACTTATGCCAGACTCTTCCTTTTCTCCTACAACAGACGTCCAGTGCCTCAGTTAACCCATGTTTTTCTCTTTCCAGGTGTGTGATTGGCCCAAAGCACATTTCATACTAGTTTAGGAAACTTGGAGTTCGTTTTCGTCCTTCCTGAGAATTTCGTTTATGACGACATCAGTCTTACTTCCCATCGGTATGTGGACATGGATATCCCCGAACAGGAAGTGATCATTTGTTAACAAATAATCCGAGTTTAAGGTTTTTTCACCCTGGTGAATAGTTTCAAGTTAAAACTGAATCCTCAGTCGAAAACAATTTGCAAGAATTAACACAAGGTGACCAACCTTCTATCCTTACTACTAAAACTGGAGTGAAACGTATATATCATATTCGGCATTATTAGCCAATGCCTGAAATTGCTGATTAAAAAACATAAAACCCATGAA